GAATATGACTTTGTAACCCAGAGGACAGAGAAAGAAAGCGCGGGTAGCATCCTGTCGGTGGCTCACCCTGAACTCTGAGCCCGTGCCATCTCTGTCTCTCAGAATCAACTTGGCCAGCAGCCAGCTGGATGAGCTTCAGACAGGCTGCACTCCAGCGCTGGCCTGTTGCAGCCATCTTGCTGGATTGTAGCCTATGTAAAGAGCCAGCGCTGGGCTGCCACGGAAGCCACAGTGTTCTGTAAACAGGGAGGCAAGCGTTCTCCAGTGCGCCATCATGTGTGTGTCAGGCACGTGTGTATACACACGTGTCTCTGTAGCTCACATCACAGGATCCAAGAAAGCTTTCTTGTTGGGCCTGCTGAAGTGTGAACCAGAGGGATGCTAGCAGCTTTGAATCAGCAGCTGTTGTTAGAACCACTGGGTACTTTGGGCTTGAAAAGGCATTAGAACCCAGCAGGTCCCTTCTCTGCTTTCGATTCTGGTAAACATTTTGTCCCAAGTCTTGGCTCTAGGATGGAAGAAGCAAGTACCTGAGAATTCTGCTCTCCAGGCTTCTTCCTGACTGGCCATCCTAGAATGTGTCTGAACTGGCAGCCGTGTGCCAGCTGGCAGTTCCAGGACTGTGGTGATAATGTTGGGGACATGAAGCCACTGCTTCCTGTAGCCACTTTCTGACCCCTGTGGGTGAGGATTTCTCTCTCTTCTTTATTTATTGTGACTTCAAAGTTATTCATTCTTCAAGAATGCTTCTTTATAACATTTGATTGCATCCACCCCTCACTCCACAGCCCTGTTTTTCCTGACCCCCTCCTTCCCATATTCCCCATAACAACTTCGTTCTCTTTTATTTTTTAACTAATTGATTAATTAACTTATTTATTTATTTTGAGGCAGGATATCTCTGCATAGCTCTTACTGTCCTGAAATTTACTATGTAGACCAGAGTGGCTTTGAACTCACAGAGATCTACTTACCTCTGTCTCCCTAGTGCTTGGATTAAAGGCATGTGCCACAATGCTCAATCCATTTTCTTCTTTAAAAAAAAAATCTATAACCCACTGAGCCCAGTGCTTCTCAATGCTCAGGGTCACATCCTTGAGGAAAACTGTTTCTCTGTCTCTACTCCTCAGTGGCCATCCTCGGCCAATCGCTTCTCAGCTAGGAACGTCTCCCTATCTGTGCTGGCATTCTGACTGGCTTGATCTTTTGCAGGTCTTGTGCAGACAGTCACAGGTACTGTGAGTTCAGGGGTGCAGTGGTTCCGTTGTTTCCAGAAGATGCTTTCTCCCAGCAGCACCCCACAACCTTGCTCTTATAATCTGTTTTGTTTTGTTTTGTTTTGTTTTTGTTTTTTTGAGACAGGGTTTCTCTGTGTAGCTTTGCGCCTTTCCTGGAACTCACTTGGTAGCCCAGGCTGGCCTCGAACTCACAGAGATCTGCCTGCCTCTGCCTCCCGAGTGCTGGGATTAAAGGCGTGCGCCACCACCTCCCAGCGCTCTTATAATCTTAACAGCCTCCATCACTGATGTTCCCTGAGCCCTGGGGAGTAGGGGTGTGGTAAAGATGTCTCATTTCCAGCTGAGCACTCCAGTCACTCGCTCTCTGTACTCTGACTGGTTGTGGGTCTTTGTGTCTGTCACCCAGGGCAAGCAGACACTTCTTTGATGAGAGGCAAGAGCTGAACTGATCTATGGGTGTAAGGATACATGTCTAGATGGCAGCTGGATACAATGGTGACTTCTTTATTTTATTTTTGGTGTGTGGTGCTGGAGATGGAACCCAGGGCCTCAGGTAGGTGTTCGACCACTGAGCGACACCCCAGCCCCTATTGTTAAATGAGTTACAAATGGTAGTCGTTTGCTGGGCTGATGGGAAACCTGAGTGTGTGGGAGGCTTTGGGCCCAGCACTAGGGTTTTTATATCCCAAGCCCCTAGGGCTTGACAGGGCAGGCTTCGGATGCTTGGGTTGTTTTCAGTTGTCAATCCGATAATTCTTTTCACCTGTGAAAACAACTGGCGTTCTAAGGAAGACCCTTTGACTTACTCCAGTGGCTCAAGCTCGGCCCGGAGGGAAGGGGGTGGGGTGGGGGAACCACCCCTTAGTGTGGCTTCCTTCTTGGGTTTGATTCCAAGTGTCATTATGGATTTGAGTTAGAGCATCGAAGAGCTCGCCAAACCTCCCTTGTGTGGCTGAGCCAGGCAGTGAGTCTGGCCTGCTTGGGAAAGGACTCCCTTCGGCATCATGGACACAGGACTTCTGCATTTGAGGTGCGTTGTGGACAGGCTGGAGGAGTGTGAGCTGTCCCAGCCAAGATCCTGCAAAGGGCACGTGGCAAGGTTGCTGGAGTGAGGGCCTCCTCATTGGAGGCTTAGCTCCTCCACACCCCAGCAAGGTAGCCTTCCAGAAGCAGACATACACCTCCCAGGGTTAATCTGGGAAGACAGACTTCCTTGCAGGGACAGGGGTGTCTCTGGGGTCCTCAGGGCTCCACCAGGTTCTGGTGGGGGGATTAAGACAGAACCTTCATGCCTTCCTGTGGCGCCTGACACCAGGCCCCAGAGCCAAATTAGTGACAGTGTCCGTGAGCCTTTGCTGAAGTCTGCTGACGGTGTCTGACATCAGTTGCACGATGTGACAGCTTTGTTTGCCAGTCTCTCTGCCTCACTAGAGCATTGGCAGGGAAGGTGCCAGTCACTGCGAGGTGACTGGATAAAAGAATGAGACCCCCAAGAAAAAGTCCCCGGTGGCTCCTGGGACAGAGCAAGGGGATCCAGGGTCAGCTTTCTTTACCCTAGAGAGGCTACTAACCTCTACTTTGCCGAGAAGCCTGAGAGCAATGCATTCTTTCCCAGGGCCTGCTGTATCTAATATCCTGGGATGCTCAGCTCTCTCCTGTTTCCTGGCTGCTAGGGACAAGGGACAGCTCTAGTCCTCACTGAGCAGGGACCTTGGGATCTGCAGCTCTTCCCCCCGCCCCTGGAGCTAAGGACCAAACCCAGGGCCTTGCGCTTGCTAGGCAAGTGCTCTACCACTGAGCTAAATCCCCAACCCGATTGGGGTCTGCAGCTCTTTGAGCAGCAATTCAGATCTTGTCCAAAGCGTCCTCATGCAGTGCCTCCTCCAAGTGGTCACTGCTCAGCACACATTATTGTGCCTAGTTGTTGTTACCTAGTCTTCTGTGCTGTGGAACTTTGGGCTGCTCTCTTCCTGAACTTATGCATAACACTCCAAAGCTGGAGAGATGGCCCAGTCGGCAAGGAGCTTGCTGGGTAAGCCTGAGGGCTGGAGTTCAATCCTCAACACCCACTTAGAGCCAGATGTGGTGGATCTGAGTTCAATCCTCAATACCCACTTAGAGCCAGATGTGGTGGATCTGAGTTCAAGCCTCAATACCCACTTAGAGCCAGATGTGGTGGTTCTGAGTTCAATCCTCAATACCCACTTAGAGCCAGATGTGGTGGATCTGAGTTCAAGCCTCAATACCCACTTAGAGCCAGATGTGGTGGTTCCTGCTTAGAGTCCCCATACTGGGCAGGTGGAGACAGGTGTGTCCCTGGGGTTCACTGGATTTTTGAGTGTCAGGCCAGTAAGAGAGCCTGTTTCCAAACAGAAGATGGATAGAACCCAAAGAATGACAACCAGGGGTAACCTCTGGCTTACACACACATACACACACACACACACACACACACACACACACACACACACATACACACACACAAACACACTTAAACTCTAGGGTAGATTTATTTTTGTAACCCTGAAGTGAACTTAATGTTACATACCTCTTTGGATTTTGCACCCAGCAGGCCCAGACTGATTCCTCTACCCTACCCTACCCTACCCTACCCTGTGCTACCCTATCCTACCCTGTGCTACCCTACCCTACCCTGTGCTACCCTACTCTACCCTGTGCTACCCTACTCTACTCTGCCCTACCCTACTCTACTCTACTCTACCCTACCCTACTCTGCACTACTCTACTCTACCCTACCCTACCCTACCCTACTCTACCCTACCCTAACCTACCCTGTGCTACCCTACTCTACCCTACTCTACCCTACCCTACCCTGTGCTACCCTACTCTACCCTACCCTGTGCTACCCTACTCTACCCTACCCTGTGCTACCCTACTCTACCCTACTCTATTCTACCCTACCCTACCCTGTGCTACCCTACCCTACTTTACTCTACCCTACCCTACCCTGTGCTACCCTACCCTACCCTACCATATCCTACCCTGTGCTACCTTACCCTTACCCTATGCTACCCTACCCTACTTTACTCTACCCTACCCTCACCCTGTGCTACCCTATCCTTCTGTTAACTGGTAACTAGTGAAGTTGAGCTTCTGTTCATATACCTACAGATCGTCTCAGTCAGGGTGACTGTTGCTGTGAGGAAACACCATGACCAAAAGCACCTCGGTGAGGAAAGGGTTTACTTGGCTTATACCTCCCATCATAGTCTGTCACCGAAGGAAGTCAGGACAGGAACCTGGAGACAGAAACTGAGCCATGGAAGGATGCTGCTTACTGGCTTGTCCCCCATAACTTGCTCAGCCTGCTTTCTTACAGAACCCAGGACCACCAGCCAAGGGATGGCACCACCCACAGTGGGCTGGGTCCTTCCATGTCAATCACCAATTAATAGAATACCCTATAGACTTGCCTACGGCCCAGTCTTATGGATGCGTTTTTCTCAACTGAGGCTTCTTCTCTGATGACTCTAGCTTGTGTCGACATAAAACTAGCCCGAACACTAAATTTTTTGGCTCATTTTTCTACTGGTTTGTGGTTTTTTTAATTGGTAGTCTCATTTAAGTAGTGCATGTACGTGCGTGTGTGTGTGTGTGTGTGTGTGTGTGTGTGTGTGTGTGTGTGTGTGTGTGTGCACATACACAGTAAATTAGTATAGCTTCCTGATGCGTAGTCAGATTGCTCACCATCTCTTCTCTAGCACTGGTTGTGACAGCCTGCTTTTTCTTTTTGATGTGCAGGGTCCTTGTGGGCGCACCAAAGGCAGATTCTAAATACAGCACTTCAGTTAAGTCCCCTGGGGCTGTGTTTAAATGCCGCGTCCACACCAACCCCGAACGGAGATGCACCGAACTGGACATGGCTCGAGGTGGGTGGACACGATTGTCAGCACAGAGGTGGGACCAACACCTTCATCCTTTGCCCTTTTTGTACTCAGGATGGCCTCATCATCCCCCCACCTGCCCTCTCTCCCTCTGTCCTTCCCTCTTTCTCACAGACGTAACTGAGATCCTTTAGTCACTAGACTCTGGGGTAGGCTAATGAACAAAGCAAACAAGGAACCTGTCATCCTGGACCTTGAGAATCGGCAGCCAGAACAGACATTAAATAACAACAGAGTAAGAGAAACCCAGAGGGAAGGTGTGTGTTTGGATCAACTCCCTATTGGAGGCTAGAAGAGGCCTCCTTGGGGACTTTCTGTGTATGGAAGGTAACTGATAGCTGGCTGGGCAGGTCCAGGAAGTGAAGTCTCCAAGCGGAGCAATGACAGTGTCCCTGGTAGACCAGTTGGCCTGGTTCTGGTCCAGCTCTACATACTGGGAATGGCTTGAGAAGACTGAGATAGGAGAGGAGGCAGGTGGCTTGCTTACCACTCCCAGGCCTGGCTTCCCCAAAGCCCTTTCTCACCAAGACTTTTTCATCATCACGTTTTGTACACAGAGGGCTGTGGAGATGACTCAGTTGTCTTTGTTGTGAAAGCATGAGGTTCTGAGTTCATCCCTTAGAATCCACTTTAAAAACTGGATGTGATCTCATGAGCCTTCAACCCCAGTGTTGAGGACGTGGAGGCGAGAGTCCCTTGGAATCACTGGCCAGCCAAGGTAGCTAACCCTGTGAGCTCCAAGTTCAGTGAGAGACTCTGCCTCAAAGAATAAAGTGGAGAGCAACTGAGGAAGACTCTTGGCATCAGCCTCTGGACTCAACATACATGAACACACACTTGAATGCACACCCCCAACATGTATGCACATACACAAACATGTAAACCCACATACATAAATGCACACCCCCAATATGTACGCACATACACAAGCATGTAAACACACACACACACACATGAATGCAAACCCCCAACACACACACATACACACACACAAATGCACATCCCCAACATGTGCATATACACATGCAAAATTGTAAACATACACAACAAAGCAACAACAAAACCCCCCAAAGAATTGTCCTGATTTTTTCTTATCAGAAGTCTTGTCCATGTGTGAGTTACAATGACTTTTCAGACATCCATGAGACACCTTTTTCTTCATGGAGAACTTTGCTGTGGAAGAAGAATGGGCTGAATTAAACAGCAACATTTCATCCCAAGTTTCTATGGAGCTGACACTTTGTTTTGAGTCACAAAACTTTGAGCTCCCAGGACCCCTTTTGGGAAAGCAGCCAGCTGTACCACTCCTCGACCCAACTCTGGTCTCTCTTCTCCCTCCAGGGAAGAACCGGGGTGCGCCCTGTGGGAAGACCTGCAGGGAAGACCGAGATGATGAGTGGATGGGGGTGAGCCTGGCCCGGCAGCCCAAAGCGGATGGCCGTGTTCTGGTAAGACCTCTAGGGAGAGGGTGACCTGGGACAGGGTGGCACCCTAAGAATGAAGGACTCATAGGCAAGTTGACTGGCGGGAAAGTCAGAGCAGCTTTTTAGCTTGTCTATCCACATTGCTGCATTGAGGTATGTCCAACCTGCAGCTTCAGGCCACATGCAGCTGCGGGCAGCAGAGAACAGCTGTGCACGTGGCCAATACAAAACCATAAAGTCACTTGAAACATTGTGAGACACTTTTGTGATATTTAAAAATAACTCAGTTGTGCAGTTCTCACGTGTGAACCTCGAAAGTGACGGTATCAAAGGTTGACACACCTAGGATTTGTTTTTGTGTTTTCTTCAGACACACTGGGCTGAGGGGGTAGCGCAGTGGTAGGGTGCTTTCCCAGCATGCAACAGTCCCAGGAAGCATTAGGAGAGAGTAGGGGATGTATAGGTAGAAAGAAGTTTGTAATTTCATTTACTACCTAAGTATTTTTGTGTATGTCTTCAGGTCAAGGTATAATTTACATAAAATACATAAGTCTGTGGTTTTAGCAAGTTCACATGTTTGAACAACCCAGGAAGTTCACTGTATCTTTATCTAGTTAACCTCTCGAATCCCAGAGGCAGCCACTGCCTTGCAAACATTGCTGTTGGTTTTTCTAGAATTTCATATGAACGTAATTCTACGAATGTGTTCAATTCCTGGGACAACCACAGTTAGAGCGAGAACTGACTCCCACAAGTTACCTTCTGAAGTACACACACACACACAAACAACAAAATGACAAATAAATGTAATAAAAAAGAACCTCTATGACAGAGACTTGGTTATTAGCCATTTTCTCTTTCTTCTTTTACACTCTCCTGTTGAGTTATAAGCTGAGGCACTCAAGCATGCATACCTCATATCTTGGTGACATTCTCACACATGTACACTCAGGCATCCCTGTGGCCAGCACCCTGAAGGCTCCTTGTGCCCTTTCTCTGGCGGCTGGCACCCTGTAGGGTGATCTTCTTCAGAGGATTCAGCTTCTGACACTGGCTTTCCTCGAAGGCTGTAGGAAGATTTGTGTCTTAAAAGTTCAAGGTCAAGAAGGGAAAGTGAGTCCAGCTGCTGCATCTCAGGGGTTTCCACTGCTCCATCTCAGGGGTTTCCTTTGGGCCATAAGCCGTCAAAGCTGAGGCTTTATGGATGTTTGCTCCCAGGGGAAATGGGTTTTCCTCAAGGACACAAGCCAAAAGTTCCCAGCCTCCTCTGAGGAGCTCTACTCTGCAGATCTCAACCCCACCTCGGCACACTTAGGAGCCCCCACGTTGATGGGTCCTTGGAAGAGAGGAAGCAGCTGGATGCTGTCCCCAGCATTGCAGGGCCTCCTCACTGGACACTACTGTGGGTCTCACTGAACTACTCCCCATGTCTGCTGGCCTTGGATTCCAGTCCTTTAATCCCTGTCTCAGCAAGCCATGGATGATGGCCAAGCCACCGCATTCCTCTAGGCATGGTGGCCTGACCCCACAGGGTGACTCAGTCCCAAAGGGCAGGAACTCTTGCCTGCCATTCTTGGGAAAGAGAGGGAGAAACCAAGTATGTGTATTCTCCAAAGGGGACCCAAAGCCTCGACTCAGAACCAAGAGAGAGGAGGAGGCAGCTGGAGACAGCAGTGCAGGAGATAGCCCTCCAGGCAGAGTCTAGAGATAGCCCACTCTGCCAGGATATACTTCCTTGGGGATGTGGACCCTCAGTGTGGCTGGGAGCTTGTTTGCAAAGGAGCAAGACAAAGACCCAGCTCTGTGCCTGTTGGTAGAGACTGGATCCAGTGTGGGGTCTGAAGCAATGGTGAGGAGCACGGGAGACATTTGGCAGAGGAGGCAAGAAGGCAGGGCTGAGTATTTTTGGGAAGTGGTGCTGTGGGCAATCCTGTCTAATCGAGCTCGATTTCTGCCTTACACAATGCTTGTACCATTCCTTTGGTAAGCCGCCCCCTGTGGTACTGGGAAGGAGAGGCGGGCATGGAGGGTGTCTATAGTTCTCAGGTCTCTTGTCCTGCTGTAAGTCATGTGTATACATACGATGGAGCGCCTCAGCCTTCAAGAGGATTATGTGCTCTGAGGGCTTTTGGGCTCTCTTTGGGCATGTGTGTCACTGATAAATGAAAAGCTCACCTTCCTGCTAAAATCAGGGGACAGCACCACAGTACGTGTGGAAACATTGTTGGAAACATTGTCACACAACAGCTCTCTAGAACTCTCGATCCTGCAAATGCCAAATTCTGCATCCATTGAACAGGACTCTCTTCCTACCACCCACTGGTTCCTGGTAACCATCATTCTGATTTTGAAGTGCTCAAATGTGTCAGATCCTGTTCGAATGGAAGCGGGCAGTATTTGTCTTTTTGTGATGGTTTCTCTTCATTTAGGGCAGTGTCTCACTACTCAGCTCTGTTGTAGCCTATGACAGGATTCTTCCTTTTCTCTTAAGACCCAGTGATACTTTATCACATGTAAACAGCGTGTTTTCTCTATTCATTCATGGATGCATGTTTATGTGGCTCCTAGCTCCTTGCCATTATGAATAATGTTGCTATAAATATCAATAAAGATTTGAGACCTCATTTTTAATTTCTCCTGGGCATATATGTGGAAGTGGGATTATCAGACCACATGGTAATTTTACTTTTTATTCTTAGAAAGACTTTGTCCCTCTAAAGTGCATGAACCATTTTGAGTTTGGCCAGCATGCAGAAAGTTCCAGGTACATTTGTTCTTCTGCTTGCTATTCTTGTCCTGTGGTACTGAAGATAGAGTCCAAGTCTCATGCATGCTGAGCACATGTCCTTGTTACTGAGCCACACTCCCAGCACACTCCATTTCCTTTTTAAACAGTGGCTACCCTAAAGAGTGTGAGGTGATATTTCATGATGGTTTTTGTTTTCAGGTGTGTGTGTGTGTGTGTGTGTGTGTGTGTGTGTGTGTGTGTGTGTGCATGTTACTTAAATCCATTTTCTTTTTCTTTAATGTCTCACTTTCATCTGTGAAATCTTTCTGGGAGACAAGTATTATTTTTTTAATTAAAGGTAGAGAAGGCATTTTGAGCCCCAGGAGTACCTTGTAGCACAGGATGAGACCTGTCTCCCTAGGGATACCACCTTTGATTTCAAGGATGGGGTGGGGGGGGGGAGGCGGGATGGCTGCTTTGAAAGATAACCTGGTATGGATTTCAAAGCAAAAAATGGAGGGGGCCTTGGAGAGCTGTGACAGAGTGAATTGTCTCAATGCCAAATGGCCATATCTGGACCAAAGTTGGCAAGACCCAAGATGTCAAGCTAGCTCGTCAGGCTGACTAGCTCAGTGGCTGCCCGTCTTGGCTCTGTGGGTAATGTGGTGTCTTCCAGTTTCCCCAGGGACCGAATGATCCCTGAAACAGATGCTGCATCAGGACTGAAGGCAAGTTCCTTTGGTTCTCACTCTGCTCTGCGCCCATAGAGTACTGAGATGGTCTTCTCAAGAACAGGGGAGGCAGGCTGGAGATGGCATAGTCAGTGATGCCATGCAAGCAGGCATGAGGGCCCGAGTCCAGCTCCCCAGCACCATGAAGCCAGGCACAGCCACTCACGTCTTTTACGGTAGCCCTGGGGAGACAGGGACAGTGGACCCATGGAACTCACTGGCCAGCCAGCCAGGTCAAACTGGCGAGCTCCAGGTTCACTGAGAGCTTCTGTTTCAAAAAATAAAGCTGGGAAGCAGAGGAGGGAGATGCTCTATATGGACCTCTGGCCTCCATATGCACACACGTACACACACTCACTCACACACACCTACCTTGGATGGCAGCTAGAACATTCAGAACCACTGTCTCTCCTCATCAGAGCTGCCAAGCCTTAGATAACAAACTGTATCTAAACTGCTCAGAGTTTTTCTGGGTGGAAGCAGTGTCTTCCGGCTCTAACTGCTGTTTCCTTTCGGCATGTCAGGGCTCTCTCCCTCTCATCTGTCTACTTCCCTTGTGTCCATTTTCTTCAAAACCCCCAGGGATGTTCCTGTGAGTATCCCTGTCGCTGTTTCCTGGTCTGGTGTGTGTGTGTGTGTGTGTGTGTGTGTGTGTGTGTGTGTGTGTGTGTGTGTGTGTATGAGGGCTCCGCTGAGATATGCAAAAAAGTGCAGAAGCCGTGAGAACACACTCTGCTGAGCTTTCCTTAGGTCAACAGCTGCCAAGCAATATTCCCAGCACCTACCACCCCAGAAATTTTTCCTGGGCCTCCTTAGGCTGCCACCTGCTCCGGGGTGGCATCCCAGCCTCGATTTTATCCTGTGCCCGTCACACATGTCTTAGTGGCCATGGCGTGGCCTGGCTGTGCACGGTGGACCTGGAAGCATGACAAAGGCTTGTCCTTCTGTGCACAGGCAGTGCAGGTGTGTGAGGGCGGCAGGGACAGACAGGCATTTGTGACCAAGCCACCCTCCAGGAAGGAATGCTGTGTTCACACAACAAAGAAGGCCTTTGAAGGAAATTGGACATTTTCTTCCTCGGGAGGAAAATACACCCTTCTAACTTGAGATGTGTGTGAGGCTAAGATTTGGGGTGATGGTGGTCTTCAGCCCTGTCCTAGGGTGATTTGGATGCTGAATTTAAACAGATTATTGCCTCCTGGATGACCTCCTCCCCCTCCCCTCCCTCTCTTCCTTCCTCTCCTCCCTCTCTTCCTTCCTCTCCTCCTCTCCCTCCTTCTCCTCTTCCTTCTTTTCTCTTTCTCTTCCTTCCTCTCTTCCTTCTCCTCCATGCTGTTTCCTCTTTCTCTCCCCCCCTTCTCCTCCTCTTCTTCTTTCTTCCCTCATCTCAAACCCAGGCCTTGTTCACACTCCTAGTCACACACTGTACCTTGTTCACACTCCTCATCACACACTGTATCTTGTTCACACTCCTCATCACACATTGTATCTTGTTCACACTCCTCATCACACACTGTATTTTGTTCACACTTCTAGTCACACACTGTACCTTGTTCACACTCCTCATCACACACTGTACCTTGCTCACACTCCTCATCACACACTGTACCTTGTTCACACTCCTAGTCACACACTGTACCTCTGAACTACTCCCATAATCCAAAGCAGGTCTGGCCACTTCCCAGGAATTCTCTGCTTTTCTGGTCTTCCCTTCCCTCTTCCCTTCCCTACAACTCACTCCCAAGTCGATCAAGTCATGCTGCTTTGCAGTTTCGCAGAATCCTGTTCTTTTTACACAGGATGCAGGTCAGACTGATATGTGTGCGTGATGATAATCAGGCTAAACACAGTGTTTTCTCCTTATAATTTATGTTCAGAGTCCCTTTCTGTTTTCTGGAGTGGGGCCCGTCTTTGACCTTTGATCTCTCTCCTCCCAGAATACTGTAAATTAGATGAATGTAAAATGCAGTGTTTAGGTCTCCTGGGGATTCTCCAAGGTCACTCCTAAACAGTTTATGGGATGGAAAGCAGACGATATAATAAACATTGAGTGACGCTGTCCATGTGTACGGCTGGCTGCCGGACCACACCACGACAAACTTCGGCCTCTCCAGCTCAGGATATGATAGGTAGGTAGCAAAGGCTCTCAAGATGCGGACTGAGTCCTTCAACCAGAGTGAAGCCCGTTTACCCATGAACCGGGTGATCTAAGCGACTCAAATTTGGAGACTGCAAGAAGTAACTTCCCTCCACCCCACAGAAAAATCAGTCAGTCAGCTCTTTATATCCACAGGTTCCGTGTCTGTGGATCCAACCCTTCCTACCCATGGGCTGTGGATCTGGTATCTCTGGGTTTAATTAATTGTGATCAAAATGATTTTTTTAATCTGCCTATGTGCTGAGCATGGACAGGCCTTCCCGTCATTGCTCCCTGACCAGCATGATATGACAATTTCTGCAGTGTTTGCGTTGTCATTAAAGTGTAGAGATGATTTAAAGTATGCAGGGCTAGGGAGATGGCTCTGCAAGTGTCAGGACCTGAGTTCGAATCCGCAGCACCCATGTCAAAAACCATGTATGACCATGCATACCTGTAGTCCCTGCATGGGGGTGGAGAGCAGAGAGTCAGATTCTGGGAACTTTCTGGACAGACAGCCTAGCTGAAACTGGGGCTTCAGTGAGAGACCCTGTCTCAAGGAGGTAGGGTACCACATGCGCGAGGGATATCTCTATGTGGAAGTGTGAGGTAATTATCCTCATGGTCTTTCCTGTTTCTCACTGCATTCTGTTTCCATCTGCTGAGAAATGAGAAATGTGTGGGAGGTTTTTTTTTCTTTTTTTTTTTTTGCATAAAACACGTATCACATGGGGAGGCAAGAAGATAGTGTGAAGTAGGAGCAACAGCTGATTGATCTGTCATTGACTATCTCAGACATGCATGTGGGCATGCTCAGATCTCCAGTGCCATGCTGAGTGTGTCATGGTGAGTGTGCCCTCTTTTGCCTCTGGGCAGAGTGGTTTGTCAGAGGCCCTGGTGGCAGCTTGATCAGAGGGCAGAAGAACAGAGATGACAATGATCTTTTCATCCAGTGAGATAGGGAAGAGCCAGCACTGGGAGGCCTTGGTGTCTCATTCCAGCTAGGTGCGAGGGCCTCATGGGAAGGGCTACAAGAACACCCAATGGCCCTGCTTCTCAGGCTGGAGTCAGGAATCTCAGGATGGAAAAGGTTTTACAGAGAGGTGAGACTCAGGAACCGCGTGCTCCAGTCCTGTTCTCAGCGCTCTGTCACTCAGCCACCCTGTGCTACTCAGTGATCCATAAAGGAAACGAGAGTTCTGGGCCAGTGACACGGCTCGGTGGGTAAGAGTGCTCGCCACGCGAGCCTGGTGACCTGAGCTCGGTCCCTGGAGCCACGTAACGGTAGGAGGAGACAATCGGCTACACAAAGTTATCCTTTGAACTCCACACACAGGGCAAAGCCCCGACTCACCTTCATTCTCACACAATAATAATACATTTTTAAAACTTTAAGAACTTATCTTAGTCACTGTTCCATTGCTGTGAAGAGACACCATGACCAAGGCAACTCTTATAAAAGAAAGCATTTAATTGAGGGCTTGCTTACAGTTTCACAATTTTAAGCATGGAGGGCAGCATGGTGATAGGCAGGTGCTGGAGCAGTAGCTGAGAGCTACATTCTGATCTTCAGGCAGAGAGAGACTCTGGCTTATCATGGACTTTTGAAACCCCAAAGCCCACCCCCAGTGACACACTTCCCTCCAACAGGGCCACACCTTCTGATCCTTATAATCCTTCTCAAACAGTTCCACTCCCTGGTGACTAAGCATTCAAATACAGGAGCCTGTGAGGGCCATTCTTATTCAAACCATCACAAAAGTCAAATCAGAAAGTGAGGATTCTGTCATCTCCTCCCCGATGGTAGATGTCAAAGGCAGACCAGCAGCTTGCTGAATGCCATGACTCACTGAAACAGTGTGTAAAGGAGACAAACTGCCTAGGGAGGGGTCTCACACCACGAAGTGCCTGGTGGGCAAGCCCAAGGACCTGAGTCTGATCCTCAGCACCGTATAAAAAAGCCAGCCTGGTAGAAGGGACTTCAGTCCCAGCACTGAGGAGGTTGAGTCGGGCAGTTCCCTGTGATTTGGTGGCCAGCTGGTCCCCAAGCTGAATTGGCGAGTTCCAGGTAAAAATGAAGACACTGTCACAAAATAACTAGATAGAAGATGCCTTCAGGAATGAAACTTGAGGTAGAGGTCTGGTCTACAAACACACACACACACACACACACACACACACACACACACACAAATAAGACATTAGAATCTGATTATTTTACACTCACAAAGACATTAGAGTCTCTTTTTATTTTCAAGTTCATTATTTTAAGAAAATACGTCCATTGTCCAGAACAAAGTGAGCTGATACCAGAGTAAGTGGTTCTCACTCAGGAGAAGGAGGGGACTGGGCTGTGCATTCCCCCTAAGCCTGGTACCTTTCCCCTGGAGAAGCCCCAGGGTCACATCCAGCACAAAGAGGTCACACCAGAGGTCACATCCTAGCACAAAGCAGGGAGCACATTCTGCAAGACAGGATGAGCCAGATCTGTGCTCTGGCTGGTGGCTCTGGTTCTCGCAATAGAAACTGGTCAGCTTCAGTGCCTCCTTAGAAGTTTGCCGCCAGCACTGAAAAGCTACTCTGGAAAGCTGGCTGGGGGCCACCTGCCCCTAAGGTTCTCCTCATAGCCTCATTTACAGAGCACTCTGCTTCATCTACCCTCCGCCCTGAGCCTTCCCTCTGCTCTGCACTCTGCCACTCCTTCTTGTCTTAAGTCTCTCCTCACAGGGCTGCTTCTGACTAGCCTGTGAAAGGCAACCACTGCCTGGCACTGGGAAGCCATCTTTACTAAGGGTTTGGGGACACAGTGGTGTGCACTTAGCAAAGCTCATTAAGTGTTCAGTTGAGATATGTATTACTCAACACCAGAAGGACCAGCAGCAAACATCTACTTCCTGTTAAGGAGGTGTGTGCTGCTGAGTGTCTCTGCAGGTAAAATCAAAGAATAGCTTCTCCTCTTCCCAATGCCTTGTCACCCTGCCCTTCCTCCCTTCTGTTAGCTCTCTCCTCCCCTTCTCTCGTTTCCATGCCCTGTCGTGGTCCAGGCAAGCAGCATCTCTCCCAGGGCTCCCCACTTCCATCCTGTCTACCTGCAGTCTGCATGGCAGATGAGGGAAACTTCCAAACTGTAAATAGGACCCCACCCCACACCTGAGGAAGCTGTTGCCTGGTTTGCCATCACCCACCCACTGGAATCAGCTACCACTCTGTCCATAAAATCCACCCTCGCCATCACCTGAGGGGCCTGGCTCCCTACTCATCATTCTTCCCCTGCAACCTCCAAACCTACCTCAATTCTCGTGTCCTTTGCACCAAATGCTCCTCTTTCTGGAAACTTCTTCCTCTTGTGCCCAGTGTGGAGAGTAGGTGCCACTCTCTGCCCTCTGCCTAGAAACAGCTTCTCTCACTTCAGTCAGCTGTCTTCCTTCCTTCCACCCCACACTCGGTTTCAGCTATGGTAGTCTTTTTTTTTTTTTTTTTTTGCTCACCATCTCTCTTCTCCCAGTGGCCTCCTGGAGCTGATTCTCATTCATTCCATTTTTCTGACACCTTGGTGAGAACTTTTTGTTCTTGCTCCCTCTCTGTCCTTTAGGCCTGTGCCCATCGTTGGAAGAACATCTACTATGAAACAGACCACATCCTGCCCCACGGATTCTGCTACCTCATCCCGTCCAACCTCCAGGCCAAAGGCAGGGTGCTGATCCCCTGCTATGAAGGTGAGTGGGGCTCAGTCCTCCCCAGCGTCCTCCTTACTGGGGAGCTCCAGACGCCCCCAGCCCCGTCCTTCCACACCAGCCCCTTAGCACTCCCCTGGCTTTCCACATGCTGACATGAGAGTGGGGTTATCTGTCCCGAGATTGATCCTGGCATCAAAGTCATGTCCAGGGAAGAGGCAACTACAGAGGGGACAGTGGTCCAGGCCCTGTCCAGCCCTGCCTGTTTCTGCCACAGAACCCATGGTGCTCTTTACGAAGTCCTAGAGACAAGCTTTAGCCGAGCGATCCAGAGCTTCCCTTAGGTTCCTGGAACTGACAATCGCTGTAGGGTCTTGGGAAACTTACTGTCCTTTTCTGGACCCGAGTTCCTTTCTCAGAAAGGTCAAGAACTTGTCCACAGCACCACTGCAATGCCAGGACGGTCACGGGACTTCCACATAACTCCTAGATGTTCTAGGCTGGGAAAAGGGACAGTCCAGTGTCATAAAGCAGTGGTGTGGCAGAAGTTGAACACCCAGCCCCACTTATCCAGTCATCTTATGACATCCTACTTCTGACAGTCATTGAGTGTCTGCAGCTGGACGGAGCTCTGCACAGTGCTCAGGTCTGAGGGACACTTGGTATCAGCCTGCTATCACTTTGTAACAACACATTTTCATGCCACACGATAGTAAACATTGTTTTTGTTCTTGTTTTTGTTTTTTTACTTGCACAACTCCACACAGGCTGGGATCAGCAGAGCTTGGAGGGCTCTGGCTGCAGGTTCAGTCAGGTCCATTTTACATGTTGCCTTCTGAAACCAGTGAGCTCCACAGGATGTGCTGTGAGAACACAGGGGCACTTGGGGTCTTCTACGGTGCCCTGCTTACGACTGCAAATGCTTGGACAAGACTTAGTCGTTGTTCAGCCCGTTGCGTCTGAGCTTTGGGTGCGTCTCGGTGGCCTGCACGCCCTCCTTTCCTAGTCCGGTTCTGGTGAGCTGAGCCAACTCCCTCCCTAAGTGCCAGGCTCCTTGGTTTCTAATTGTCTCTCCCTTGTTGGAAAAGAGATCTCACTGGCCTGGGTCCACACTGCCTTGTGTTTACCTGAGCTTTCTTAGGTTTTGCCCTTGTGGCCATCAAGAGGGTTCTGACACTGTCTGGACATTGTAAGTTATTTTTGTCTCATGCGGGGGATCCCAGGACACTATTGGAAACTCAGAAGGCCCAAGCAGGATGTTCTGTGAGCTGTTCTCTACAGAAAGGCCAGCAGGGACATGCCGGAGGCATGCGCTCTCTTCTGGGTGAGGATGGGCCATATTCATAGCTGTCTCCCTCTCTGCTTCAGCATCTGGTTGGCTTGGGCTGGGCCAGATGGGAAGGCTGAACTCTGGCCCTGGTCACCTCCATATTGTCCTAATGGGAAGAAAAACTTCATCTTACAATGGTGGTGACATAGCCAGGGGTGGAGCTCATCTGGTAGAGTGATTGCCTGGCATGCGTGAGGCCCCAGGGTTTTTATCCTCCAGGCCAGCTAGGGTACGTGAGCCCCTTAGGGTACATGAACCCCTTTCTCAATTGAATGAATGAATGACTGACTGGCTGAATAAATAAATAAATGTCATCAGTCAAGGGTTGGATCCTATGAGCACCGTGCCGGGATATCGGTTTCCTACCCACCCATCTCAGCACTTTCCAAATCCCACACAACTCACTAGTCCCCAAACACAAGCACATAGAACAGACCTAACCTCGACTTGTAGCCAAGAAATCAGCATTCGTTATCATTCGCTGTGAAGAATCACAGTTGTTATGCAGAGGTAGCTAACTGATGCAGGGCTCAGCCCAGGAACTCTGAGTTCTCATGCTTTGGTTATTTCTTGACTCCACAATGATCAGATGGAGCCAGAGAAGAAATTAGCAAGATGGTTTTGCTCCCACCTGACTTTCTTCCTCAAGGACAGACACGCATTCTAATTTGTACTTTGGCAAAAAACCCAGAAAGGGTGGGGCTGGCATAGGGAGTCCCGGGATGAAGAGCAGCTTCTTAGGAAAACTGAGAACTGGACAATGGTTCTGTGTTCTTGGATCTGTAAGATGAGAGGGCTGGTGATGCTCAGATCTCTCTAGAAGACTGGGCTGGTGAGGCGGGATTAGGTGGAGGCAGGGCACAGTGAGAGGGCCCTTGCCTGTACTGTTGGTTTTGGAGACCTCTGCTTCCCTGTTTTGTGGTCTAAATGAAGCCAACTTGGGCTCCTAAAACAACCATTATTTTCTCTTAATGTGGAAAATCTCAGTGACGCAAGCTCCCTGTTCTAGGTGGGGAATCACATTATGGTTAAGGACAATGGAAGCATTTAGTGTTTAACAGAACCTTTCAGATGTCATCTAGACAAGCTTTCGGGGTGTATCAAGGTCCAGAGAGATAAGCATGGTTATGCAGATAAGCGTGATTATGCAAGTTGGAGAATTCATTCGGTGATTCACTGTGTGGAAGGTGAGTCACACAGTGGCTGGAACAAAGCTCAGGACCCCAGATGCCGGAGTCTGAAGTCCTCTCTCTCATTAACACTGTGACATTGGATGAGGATTTAAATTCTGTGTCTAGCTTAAGTGATCATACTTTTGATTCCTTAGAGCAATGTCTAGCATATATCTGCTAACATGGTACATGCTGAGCATATTACATATGGTGATATGCTTCTTTTATGCCAGTGAGCTAGGCACTAAGCAAGATTTATTATCATTGTAAGGTGACTGACTTGTGTTTCAGGAACAGAGCCCGCTTAGTTTTGTTAAGTGCCCGACAGCCATCAGATACACAAAATCCCACAGACACAGTCCAAGAAGAGAGGGCGATGAGGCGTGGGGGTGTAAAGAAGAGAGAGAGGGGAGCATGTGAGGACTGCAAGGGAACCAGTGGGAATCGGGAGGGGACGTGTGAGGGGAGCGAGAGGAGGGATACAAGTGTGTACTAGTCCATGTGTGAGGGATGGAGGGATACAAGTGTGTCTAATCCATGTGTGAGGGATGGAGGGATACAAGTGTGTACTAGTCCATGTGTGAGGGATGGAGGGATACAAGAGTGTACTAATCCATGTAAGGGATGGAGGGATACAAGTGTGTACTAGTCCATGTGTGAGGGATGGAGGGATACAAGTGTGTACTAATCCATGTGAGGGATGGAGGGATACAAGTGTGTACTAGTCCATGTGTGAGGGATGGAGGGATACAAGTGTGTACTAGTCCATGTGAGGGATGGAGGGATACAAGTGTGTACTAGTCCATGTGTGAGGGATAAAGGGGTACAAGTGTGTACTAGTCCATGTGTGAGGGATGGAGGGATACAAGTGTGTACTAGTCCATGTGAGGTATGGAGGGATACAAGTGTGTACTAGTCCATGTGTGAGGATGGAGGGGTACAAGTGTGTACTAGTCCATGTGTGAGGGATAAAGGGGTACAAGTGTGTAATAGTCCATGTGTGAGGGATGGAGGGATACAAGTGTGTACTAATCCATGTGAGGGATGGAGGGATACAAGTGTGTACTAGTCCATGTGTGAGGGATAAAGGGGTACAAGTGTGTAATAGTCCATGTGTGAGGGATGGAGGGATACAAGTGTGTACTAATCCATGTGAGGGATGGAGGGATACAAGTGTGTACTAGTTCATGCGTGAGGAATGGAGGGATACAAGTGTGTACTAGTCCATGTGAGGGATGGAGGGATACAAGTGTGTACTAGTCCATGTGAGGGATGGAGGGATACAAGTGTGTACTAATCCATGTGTGAGGGATGGAGGGATACAAGTGTGTACTAATCCATGTGTGAGGATGGAGGGATACAAGTGTGTACTAATCCATGTGAGGGATGGAGGGATACAAGTGTGTACTAATCCATGTGTGAGGATGGAGGGATACAAGTGTGTACTAATCCATGTGTGAGGATGGAGGGATACAAGTGTGTACTAATCCATGTGAGGGATGGAGGGATACAAGTGTGTACCAATCCATGTGTGAGGATGGAGGGGTACAAGTGTGTACTAATCCATGTGAGGGATGGAGGGATACAAGTGTGTACTAGTCCATGTGAGGGATGGAGGGATACAAGTGTGTACTAATCCATGTGTGAGGGATGGAGGGATACAAGTGTATACTAGTCCATGTGAGGGATGGAGGGATACAAGTGTGTACTAATCCATGTGAGGGATGGAGTGATACAAGTGTGTACTAATCCATGTGAGGGATGGAGGGATACAAGTGTGTACTAGTCCATGTGTGAGGGATGGAGGTGTACAAGAGTGTACTAATCCATGTGAGGGATGGAGGGATACAAGTGTGTACTAATCCATGTGAGGGATGGAGGGATACAAGTGTGTCTAATCCATATGTGAGGGATGGAGGGATACAAGAGTGTACTAATCCATGTAAGGGATGGAGGGATACAAGTGTGTACTAGTCCATGTGTGAGGGATGGAGGGATACAAGTGTGTACTAATCCATGTGAGGGATGGAGGGATACAAGTGTGTACTAATCCATGTGAGGGATGGGCAGGTGGCTCTGTCGTCAAAGTGCCTGCTGTCCAAGCACGAGGACCAAAGTTCAGGTCTCCATATAAACGCCAGGTGAGTGTGGCACAACCCTGGAAGGCAGAGACCGAGGGGTCCCCACAGAAAAATGGGTAGTGAGACTAGCTGTTGTGATGAGCTCTGGGTTTGATTGAGAGGCAGAAGAGCACTTGAGGATGATTCCTGACACTAATCTTGGATCTTGACATGCATGCACATACACATACGTCCATGAAAACAATCATACCCACATATGCAGAATGCACACACATGAATATGAAAAATTACATGCTTGAAAATGTCATAATTAAACTTATTTTTTACAATAATTAAAAATTGGATTAAAAACAGAAATCTCCTGCTTGTAGGAGAGAGCATAGGAAACGTCATGTTTGAACATTGGTACTGTGTGGGACTGAATTCTCAACCTATACATGCTCTGTTGGGAAACTCTCC